AGAGGGAGAGGGAGAGGGAGAGGGAGAGGGAGAGAGAAGAAGGGGAAGGGAAGGGAGGGGAGAGTGAGCGAGAGGGCAAAGAGAAATCAAGAGTGGGACCAAAGAGATGCCCACATGAAATAACTAGACACACAAACCATGAAGGCAGCCCCATCCCTGGAAACCGAGGCTTTGAAATGAGAAATGTTTTTCGTATCTTAAATCTCAAGTACAAACAATAAAAACCAGCCCAGACTGTGTTCTTTGAAGAGAAAGTACGAGTGACCTGAGCAGTGGTTATCAGCAGCGTCATTAAGATAAACCCTTAACATGATTTAAAGCATCCGAAACTGAAGGCGGCACTTGCAGATACTAACAAAATGGCCTGACATTGGGGATGAAAATCAATAGTAATCAGATGTCACTGAAAATACTCAAAAGTGTCCCCTGACTGATGGAGGTGAGATTAGTGTAAATATTTGTATTCTAATCAGTGGCACGGGAGGGTTGGAAGGCAGCCTCTCTGTCTATTTAATTAATGGAGTAGCTTTTAAAAAGGATCCTAATCATATGTGATTGTATCTGCTTATCAACATTTTTGCTAATTAGATGATATGGAGGCAGTCGTTCTGCTAATTCCCTCATCCGAACAGCATATCCTGCACAGATAAAGTGCAGTCTCTTTTTTTAATAAGAAACAATCATGGGGCAGACTAACCTTAATGGTGCTTATTATCGTTGGAGTTTCTGCTCTGTGTCTATCTCTCCCCTTGCACAGCTTTCCACTCCAGAATCTGGATGGACAAAGTTTCTTGCACTCCTCACCTATTGGCCCTGAGTAATGTATTAAAACAGAGCACAGAAAAGTTATTTTTTGGACTCCCGTTGCCAGAATTGATTAGCTTTGCCAAGCTCTGCTATTCAATGTGTTCCTATTTCTCCATGGCAAGAAGGACACTGGAGACCCCTGGCAGACTTTTCTCCAACACAATGTCAGCTTGGAAATCTGTGTCAAGTAGTTCAGCTCTATCTTCCCTTGCCTGAACAGGAACAGGAACTTCCTATCTCTTCCACTTAAAGGCTTCCTATCTCTTCCACTTAAAGAAAGCTAACCTATCACATCTCGACCTTCTTTTTTCTAGACTAAACATGCCCATCTTCTTCAATCATTCTTGGTTTTTCAATTTTTTGCCATCATTCTCTCTCTCTCTCTCTCTCTCTCTCTCTCTCTCTCTACACACACACACACACACACACACACACACACACATTACATGTTTTAATTAGCTCATCCATACAGGTTGGTCCATGATGCTATCCAATTGTTGCAAGTGTTTGTCTTTCCAGACGAGTTTCCTTCCTTGTAAATTTTACACTCCTATTCCTTCTGCTGTCTCTGATGACTGCTAAAAGTGCTGAGACTGTGGGCCTACTCTTCATTTATACAGGACTTAGAGTCTTTCCACCACCTTATTATGTGTCCATCGGCTTATCTATGCTTCAATGTATTTTTCACCCACCAATGACTCTTGAATGTCTCTTAATGATCATCCTTAAGATCTCTATCTGCCACCCCTCAAGAACTGCCCATGGCCCTTCACAACTGCTGACCTACCATCACTATGCTGGACCTTTCACATTTCTATTACATTTCATAAGTCCACTCTCCGTGAACCGTATAAAGGTCCATTGACTGAAGGTAAATCAGTACCTGTCCAAAGAGGTGGCCAACAGTCCACAAGAGTCTATGTCAAATAAAACCTCTTGGTTTTTAATGTGTCGTAAGACTTGTGGTTGGTTTTGCTGCAACTGGCTAACATGGCCAGCATGAAAATGTCTACATATCCAGAGTTGTCCAACTAATTGGGGTTTGTAAACTGACCATAGAATTCTTTCATGTTTCATTCCCTACTGCAGCAGCACTGTTAACCAGTTCTAGTACGTAGCTTACACCTGTATGATTCCTCTCAGCAGAAAATATTTTCTGGAGACATGCCACTCCACGTGCTATTTCTCTGGAAAATGTGTTTGTTTATGGATGTCTTGCCTCGAGCACTTTATTTATAGTGTCTGCCACTGGGAAATTTTTTCCTCTCCCAAACAAGTAGCCTTACTAGTTTGTTAGACTATCAGGTTTTATTTGAGATAAGCTTTTGTAGATTATAGCTATTTCACTGCAGGGTCTGGGGCCATGTGCTGGTTCTCTAAAGAAACCATATCATTCCCACCTTTCTGTCCTTCAGAAGACCATCATTTTAGACTGAATTGGGCAATGAAGAGTTTTGACTTTAGGTTGCACAACATTTTTTTCATTATTATTGTTGTTTTGTTGTGTTTTGTGTGGTTTAAGATCTTTTAAAGATATTTTAACTGCTCTAAATGATCTGTTTTAATATTATTATTAGGAGGCATCCTTCAGTCTCGCAAGATTATGGTAACATGCTCTGTACGTAGGACTTGGAACAGTGTCTAGCGTGGGTGAGAAGGCCAATTCGAGATTGACAATCCCTTCCACACTGAAGACAAATCCAATCTGTCACCTGTCCAGCTCCCTGATTTTGCTGCTTTTGTGACTGCCTCTTTGCCTCAGCAAAGGGTCTCTTCAAATTGGGAGAGGCCATGATGCACCGCATGCCTCCAGGCTGAACGCTCAGATGTCAGGGTTTCCCATTTGTTGAGATCCATTCCTAAGGCCTTCAGATCCCGCTTGCAGATGTCCTATATCTTTATTTTTAATGCAGTAATGTACTGTGTTTTTAGTTGTCTTGTAATTAACGATTCGTGAGCCACCTAGGATCCCTTCATCAGGAGAAGGTTGGCATAAAATTAAATATTTTTTTTTAAAGTCCAAAGTGTTGACACTCTCAGCCGCACCCCACACGTCCAGTTTCCAAAGATAGTCATCTCACTCCGGATTTTTTTTCCTCCCCTTTGCGCTGCTTCTTTTAAGAAAACACAAGTACTGAGAGATATGGATCACTGTCTGGCCTGTGTCACATCTAATGCTCAGTAGTTTTTTAGGGAGCCCTGTGTTTCATTCCTCAAGCTCCTTGTGACTGTATTTCTTCTGTTTTCCAAGTCCTCTGTACCTTGCATAGGACACTTCATTAAGTGGAAGAGTGATTTATAAGTTAACAAAAACAGCCAATATCCACAAACATATATTACAGTGTCCCCCCAGGCAAATATTCTGCTGTCTTTTAGATTTTATTTCATAAATTATTTAATTATACTGCCCTGGGAATGCATTTCTAGGCTATGAAATCCCCATATGAGAGTGGGATTTTTCTTGACTTTTTTTTAAAGGGTTGATAGGGTCACACAGAAAAAGGTTTATGAGCAGCCCATTAATCCCACAACAAGGCCTGGATCCTTTTATCTAAAACAACATGAGCTTGAGGCATTTGCTCTAAGTACTTTGACTATCCAAACAAACAAGGGTCAGGATTTCACTGTGCCAGTCAAGCTGTCATCAAATTCTTCAACCCTATTACACTTCTCCCCTACCCCCACCTCTTATGGAGAAAGTGGTCTAAAACTCTTTCCTGCCTTTTTCAAGGGGGTCATTGTTTGATAATTATCTAGACCCATTTCATTCTGGTTCCAGGCCTGGCTATGGGACCGAGACAGCTTTGGTCACCTTGGTGGATGATCTATGCTGGGAACAGGATGTGGGGGTGTGTGTGTGTCCTTTTTGGTTCTGCTGGACCTCTCAGGGGCTTTCAGTATCTTCAACC